CTCAAGGAGCAGACCTGACAGGAGCCGGTGAGAATAAGGCAGGGACTACTTGAGAGGACTTGACCCAGAAGAGTCTATTAGACCCAATGGGCTGCACCCAAGGCTGCCGAGAGAACCAACTACCATCCTTGCAAGGGCACATTCTATCCTCTTTGAAAGGTCATGCAGATGAAGAGAGGTTTAGAACAACTGAAGAAAGGCAAATGTTGCAAACATCTTCAAATGATGCCACAAAGACAAAAGATCAGCCTCTCTTTGGTCCCTGGAAAATCACGGAGCAAGTCCTCTTGGAAGGCATTTCTGAGAACCTCAGGGAGGAAAAGTTGACTGGGAACAGTCAGCATGAGTTTACCAAGGGTAAATTATGCCTCAACAACTTGTTTGTCTCCTGTGATAAAATGACTAGATTAGTGGGCAAGGGGAGAGTAGTCATTTGCTTTTGAAAATTAGGGAATAAAACAAATATTGAAGTTTTATTCATAGTCCTTCGTGGTGCTGAGGGAGAAATCTACGTGGTCTCTCCTTCCTTCCTGTGGAGGAAAACCATAGCCTAACATAAAGCAGACAGACATTAGGATTAGGAGAATCTTTAGGGTTAAATACCCATCCCAGAAATAAACAAGCAAACAAACAAACAAAAGATAACAAAATTTCTTCCAACATGTATGTTTTATTTGTTGGGGTTTTTTTAAGACCTGAAAAGGTCAAGTTCGAAAAACACTGTTGTGGTTTGGGTTGAACTTCATAGAGCCATATGCCTACTGTCACCATGTATTTACAAGACCTATTGGAAATCTGCAAAGACAGAAGAAAATTCAAGGACATGAAAAGATGAAACAGATAAGTGAGTGGACAGAGAGACTTGGCTTAGAAATCACTTTGGCAAGCAAAGTCCATTTGTGCCAGTGTACGATAAGTATCTTATGATAACCCTGCAAAATGTCCAATAAGGAGCAGAGGTCTTATGATGCCATCTTGACCAAGACAGCTTTAATGCTGTGAGCACAGCAAATAAGTGCTTCACTTACCTTGGGACAACTAAGCAAAACTTCCAACAATTAGAAAAATACAACAAATTCTTCAAATATGCAGGAGGGGTGTGACAAAACCGTTTGAAAACTGTGTGTGTAATATAGAACATCAAAAACATTGATCTCTAGTAGCTTCACTACTTTGTGGTTTCAAATTTGCTGCACTTTGTGCTCCCTGACGAACTCTAGTTTTCCAGTACTGCAAAATGTGGATACAGTTTACCTAGTCAATAATTTTGTAGACCATTTTTCCAAAGTAAACTACACATTCTTTAATCACAAAATGCAAACAATTTTTATACAAAAAGCATAGAGATAGAAAAGCAGACAACTCAGATAATTTCCCATCTTGGGCCTGTCTACTGTTTCTCTGTTTAACAGATTTTTTTAGTACACCAGCTATTCTATAAATGTTTTAAATGCATGTGTTTGGTTTTTTTCAGCCTCACAGAAAAACAAAAAAACCACAGAATCTATGCCAGCACTCTAGCTCATGACAGTGTAAACGTCTGTGCTGCATCAATGACCTCCTCTTGAAGCTGCATCTCTCTTGGGAGCAGGCTGACAATCCATAACACCATCCATGTGAGGCAAGGAAGCATAATGAGAATGAATGGTGAAAGATAATCTTCCACCATTGTGAAAAATGGCAAGAGAAGTCTTCAGCCCCAAACCCCTGATCAGAATGGCATTTTAGCTCCTCGAAGCCATGAACTTTTGTGCTATGATTAAGCTGCTTACATGCATTTGAATTGTGCTTGCAAAGGAGTACTCTGCTTTTGCAGCATTTCTACAGCCACTTTCAAATTAGATAAAAAATACTATTTAAATTGACTATCGCTCTTCATTGTTCTGCACGTCAGATTTCTCTTTTCGTGTTTTCGGAAAGAAAATTATATAAAAAGAGAGAAAAAAAAATTAACCAGTACTTTCACTTACCCATCCATGAAAGCCTTCTGGATGAGTTGCAACACCCAGCACAAGGTAAGAAAGTCTAGCACATGGAATGGCTTATAATCAAGCTACGTTGCCTTCTCCAACACATTAACCCGCTCCTTTCAGCACTGCTTATTCAACTGCTTTGTTTATTAACAGCTGCTTAAGACACCTCTGCATCAGCTTTCAGACCTCTGCGAATCCCATTCACAAGCAGTGAATACAGCCCTTGGTCAGCAATAGGAAAAATCCAGTTTGATACTGGTTCAGTGACAGAGAAAATCCATGTAATGTCACAGTAACAGGACACAAAGAACCAATCTAGTATAAAAATCACTCTGTCGGTTCAAATTTGTCCCAGATGTGTTGATGGAGTATCTTTGCACTTGCAAAGCTTTACACCAGAGAGGGTATTGTCTCTGCTCGCATAGCCAGCCAAAATCATAAATCCAGCACGAACCTGGTATTGCTTGCTCTGCTAATTCAACAGGAATGTGATCGTGTGCCTAAGCCCTGCCTATCTTTTAGGTAATCAAATAAAACACAAATCTCTCATTTAAGCATGGCCAAAGAGGCAGCCACTGTCATGAGAAAAGAGAGTACCAATTGTGCCTCCGACAATTTTGATAACCAATCTCAAAATTCTATTACCATGGAAACTTTCATTCTCTGAAAATCATCCAGAATTACTAACTTACATGCACTGTGTCCTGCAACACCAGGTATGGACTATATTAAAATTAGAAAAGGACAGATATGCCAGCTTAGGCAGTCCATTCACTTGCATATTGCTCACTGTGGGAATCATAATGACTACAGGACACTATCCCGTCTTCATAGTAGTTTTAAAAACGAAATTATACTGCTCCCGTGAGCACATTTATGCAACCTTTCGAAAATGTAGCAGAACTGCTGCTTCACTGATAACTTTAGGCTCACAAATAGGACATAAATTTTAACTCAACACATACACAAACAGGTATCTCCCCCGATGAACCTCTATGGAGATATCTGTAGAAGAGTTATTTCACAGTACCAGCTCTATATATAACAAAAAAAAAAAAAGGAAAAAAAAAAAAGTACCACAAATGCGCAAACAAAGAATGACATGTACAGAAACGTAGTGAGAGTACAGAAACGTAGTGAGAGCATGCAGGGATGCGACGAGGAAGGCCAAGGCTCACCTGGAATTGAAGCTGGCAAGGGATGTCAAAAACAACAAGAAGGGCTTCTTCAACTACATCAGCAGCAAAAGGAAGGCTAGGGACAATGTGGGGCCGCTGCTGAATGAGGCGGGTGTCCTGGTGACGGAGGATGCGGAGAAGGCAGAGCTAATGAATGCCTTCTTTGCTTCAGTCTTCAGTGCTAAGACTGGCCCTCAGGAATCCCAGGCCCCGGAGGTAAGAGAGGAAGCCTACAGAGAGGACGACTTTCCCTTGGTCGAGGAGGACTCAAAGAGGGTGTTACAAGCGAGAATGAGTACCTTGGAAATGGAAGCAGTAAAAAGGCAAACTGTGCTGAGCCAGAGTGTTGCACTGGAAGCTGTTAAAGCACCATTATTAATTTCTGAGCCCAGGAAACTCTCGTAAATGTGCAAGTAATCAAGAGTACACCGTGGTAAGCCCTTAGGTGTTAGTAACTGCGCTGTTAGTTGTAATTTGATCATCGTTGTCTAAAATCCACTATGCCATAGTAAAACTTACTTATCCAAATGCAAAAGTGAAGAAAACCACTAAGTTTGCTTCCTGTGTGGAAACAGTAGGTGAACATTGCACTCCTTCTAATTCAATGAACCTAAGGTCATCAGTTCATGTGCAAACTAGAAAGACTCTGTGATGGCTTAATTTAAGATTGCATGTCAGGCCACTGGTTTCTTAAACTAGGCATCTTTGGCAAGGGGATCTTTGAAAATAGGCTAGGCAACTTGGTGTGGAGGGCTTTAAACTAAAGGACTCGGGGAGTGGGGGGCAAAGTCTCAATGCTCAAGCCATCCCATCTGTGTGGCGATTAAGTGTGGGCAATCAGAGCAGTGACAAATGTTCTTCAGCTGCATCCCAAGCTGAAAAGCAAAAGACCAACAACCTTAAGGGTGGGCATGGACATGGCAGATTTTTTTGCACCCCTCCAGGGAAACCAGCATGCTCAAGTTCCTCCCTGAAATGTCTGTACACCAATGCACGCAACATGGGCAATAAGCAGGAAGGATTAGAAATCTGTGTGCAATCACAGGGCCATGGTCTCACTGCAATTACAGAGACATGGTGGGACAACTCGTATGACTGGAGTGCCGTCATAGATGGCTACACAGTCGTTAGGAAAGACAGGCCAACAAGGCAAGGTGGTGGAGTTGCTCTGTATATGAGGGAGTAACCGGAATGTATCAAGCCCTGCCTGAGGGTGGATGAAGAACGAGTCGAGAGCTTATGGAGAAGAGAAGGCTGCGAGGGGACCTTATAAATGCCTACAAATATCTGAAGGGTGGGTGTCAGGAGGATGGGGCCAAGCTCTTTTCAGTGGTGCCCAGTGACAGGACAAGGGGCAATGGGCACAAACTGAGGCACAGGAAGTTCCGTCTGAACATGAGGAGGAACTTCTTCCCTCTGAGGGTGACGGAGCACTGGAACAGGCTGCCCAGGGAGGTTGTGGAGTCTCCTTCTCCCGAGATATTCAAGACCCGCCTGGACGGGGTCCTGTGCGGCCTGCTGTAGGTGACCCTGCTTCGGCAGGGGGGTTGGACTAGATGACCCACAGAGGTCCCTTCCAACCCCTACTATTCTGTGATTCTGTGATTCTATGTCGCAAAACTTGTTATTCTTTTCAATACACTACATGGTATTTAACCTGACATCATACCAGCAAAAATAAAAACAAAATCCTGAAAACTAGCAAAATCGGGGTAAATACATACCTCTGCTACACTTTTAACCAACGTCATAATAAACAAAATTTTTTTCTGTTTCTATTGAAGAAGCATACGAAAAATAGCACTAAATAAAAAAAGAAACTCATCTGGAAGTCATTTATTCTAACTCTCTAATAAGCAGGTGTGCTACGTGATCTCAATGCTGCAAACTTCTTGGGACATAATATTTTCATGAAAGCCATTCGAAACCTCATATGACAGAGAGGGTAAAGAAATGGATTCAAAGAGGAATTGATCCACAAAAGCCAAAAGGTTACTTCGTACAAGGACTCATGGACACAGGATCCTTTGCAAGCCCCACGAATAATCATTAGTAAAGTGTATGGGGCCCAGCAAATGGCAAAAACACACACAATAATCGCAAGCGACTTCGCAATTTTCTTGTCCTGCTGCAGTTTTGACCCAGTCCTTGAATGGACAGAAACAGAAAACTCCCTTTGGAGACCTGTGGGACTGGTTTGTGTTGGAGAAGGACAGTTAGCCATCACTGCTGGTCTCCATGGCCTTGTTAACGATGAAACACTGTCCTCTGCTTCCGATGAAGGAGAAGATGCTCCTGGCCTCGGCAAAAGGCAAAATCTCCAGGACAGGCTGCCGCTCCTCGGAGGCTCGCAGTCCTGCGTGCTGCCATGCCGCTGGCGCCTCTGGATGTTGTGGAAGATGTGCACGTTGAAGTAGGTCACTGACAGCAGCGGCACAAAGAACTCCAGGGTGGACGCACACAGGAGGAAGTACCAGTTTTGCGAGAACTCAGCACAGCACTGATCTTCTGCTATCTTGCTGTGTCCAGCCATGTACTCCCAGAAGAGGATTGCTGGGCAGTAGAGGAGGAAGGCGAAGACCCAGATGGCCACCATCTTGATGACAGGGTTGGACATTATTCCCTGCTGGGCTCTGTAAGATACCTGTGAAGGAAAAGAACACATCACATATTCAGATATCATTTTGAAGAAAGTATATAAAAAAAAAATAAGCAAGTCAAATATAGCATTTGTTCTGTAATTCCCCAAATACCTAGAACATCTTTACTTACATAAGGTCCTGAAAAACTGTTAGTCTTGTTCATCAAACACTGTAGCTCTGTGATATTGATTTTAATATGTGGGCCTGGAGAAGAGCAGAAATTATGGTGGCTAAACTACCCTTTGCCTTCCAAGTTGTGAAAGGACTTCGCTTGTTTTCATCATCACCACCACAGTAAGGTAGCAATAAGGAATCAGTTTATGATTCATTAAATGCCCAGGCTCAGAGGAGAGTGAAAACAACTGTGGGACTTCCTTTCTGCATGGGCAAAAGTAGAATCCTTCTGCATTAGACAGGTTGCCATGTGAGACTGCAATCACTAGACATTGTAATTTTTAATACTGTTTCCTCTTGCCATGGCAGGAAAATCTACCCTGCCCCCCTCCCCCAACAGGCTTTAACATCCCTTACTTTATTGAAACTCTCCGTTTTAACACTCACTTTACCTTGTAAACAACTCATTGCATTACTGCAGATCTTGAAGATTTTATGTCTATCCAGATTGCATTAATTAATTTCATTGTCTAGCCATAAACACCTATCTTTGAAAAAAATATTAAGAATTAAAATTATGTCATCCAAAGTTAGGAAATACGAGAGGTAAAACCATCCTTGTGATAGCCCAGTCAGTATGTACAATACATACTTCTAGCTCTTGGTGCTCTGTGTCTTTCAGAGCACAAGATGATCAGTTAACAAGAAGCTGGACAATTTTATTTCCTCTGTACTGTTCCACATTTGTCATCCCAGGCTTTACTCAGACCTAGAACTACTACCTTCCACACCAGCTTCTTATGCTGTTCATTAGCCTAGCACTTGTACACCGTACAAATATTAATGAATGGCACAGCCACATACAACACCAGGGGCTTTGTCCCTATTTCACCAGTGAGTAACAGAGTAATAGCGTAGTGTTACACCCTTTATTTCAGACTTCAGTAGCCTGAAGATTCAGACTCCTCTACATCTTAAAGCATCATATCGGCTGGGAGCACAGCTCCGGTTCTGCAATAATGAACTTGCAGCCCTTTGCAAGACCACAACCAACTCAATTTAGTAGGCAGAAAACAGGAAGCTCAGCACAGCTTCACAATAAGTTAAGTCTGAAATGACTGGCCTCTGCCCACAAGTCAGGTCTGCAGCAGAGGCGGATCCCAAGTCCGTGAGGAAGCATGATATTTTTCCTTTGGATAACAGCCCTATGTTACACACTCCTGGACTCACTCCACCCGACCACCTAACGGAGAAAAACAGAATATGATAGTGTAAATGAAGACCATCAACAGTGCGTAAGAACATGGAGCTCAGCTGCATTGTAGAGGCCTTTTAATTTACATTTCTCACATTCTGAGCTCTGCTACTTCATTAATATTTTTCAATATTACTGTCTTAAATACAGGGATTTTCATACTTTATTGTTCAGCTTTTAAAAAAAAAGCAGCAACAACCAACTCTAAAACCACGACACTGGGGAAGAACAGAAAGCGTTTAGGCATTGTAACACCACTCCCCGAACAATCTGGACCAAACACCAGGTAGAGCTTAGAAATGGTGAATGATATTTACCACTGGATTAATCAGATATCTTAATGGTAATATTTACCACTGGATTCCTCTAGGTATCTTCTGAAGCACAATAATGATAATACTCAAGAAATGCCTCTTACCTCTCTGCATATTTTGATGCATCCTTCTTTTTACTGCAGGGGATTACTTCCCACCCAACTGCTTGTTGGCAGCACATGTCAATCACCCCCTGCAGTAATGCAGATCCTCATCTGATCTTCAGTCAGTCCATCCCACATGTCTCTCCATACCCTCTTCTCCTTTTAAAATTTATCCCAAGCCTAAGCACATCCCTGACTCAACCTAGTTTTCATTACCATTCTTCTAATGACCAAGGCCCAAGTTCTCCACACTTCTTCTGCCTCTTTCCTACCTGGACCTTCCCATCTCCTCTGTAATGTAATTAAATAATTTCTAATCCAGGCAGCAGGAGGGACACACTGAAATCACAGGAAAGGCATCATCCTATCTCTAAATCCCAGTGCAACATTGAAGCATCAACATTTCTCCAGGAAAAAACTGGTACAATAAAGAAGGACTATTTAGCTTCCAGTGTTAATAGTGAACATTCTGATTTCTATAGAAATTACAATATATATAAAGCAATAATTAGAAATGTTCTTCTTACAGCTTTTGTAACTGACAGGAAACGGTCATAGCTGATAAGGACAATGCTAAACACTGAAGCTGTGCACAGGAGGTAGTCCATAACTAGCCAGAGTTTGCAGACGCCTCTTCCCAAGTGCCATTTCCCCATCAGAGCATAAGGGATGTAGAGAGGCATGCAGAAGACACCTATGGAAATAAACCAAACACACACATCAGTCAGCACTGCAGGCAGTGCTCAAGAAAGCACAGAAACACTTTTGCAGTGTCTGATACAAGCACGATAGTGACAGGAATCGCCACGTGGAAGGCTTGGTATTCTCATGCAACAAATGAACACTTCACTACTAACTAGGCGACAGTAAACAGTCTTATAATTAATACCTTTCTGAAAGGTATATCATGTTTATTGTGTATCAAGGTGTATCGTGTTTATTGTGTATCATTATTACTTGTCCTGCTTATATCACCTGCTAAAGGAAGGAACAGCTAACATTTTTACCTGCTGCAGTAAACACTACTCTGTATTAACTACTGAATTGAAACAAACAAACAAAAAACTTCTTTCCCCCCTCAAGGTAATTTACTAACTGTTTTCTACAATAAATTATCTAATTGCTATGTTTCTATCCCCTTAGAAGTATGATATGGTGTCTGAAAATGCTCCAGAAGTAACTTTTATAGAAATACAATATGAATTTCAGACTAATCTTTAAAACTATATGATCAAAAGTCTGACAAAAACTGCACGGTTAATTAAGTACACTCAGTCTAACATTTCTTCTCATCATAATGCTTGATCATAACCACTTGTCAGTGATGAGCTGATAGAGTGTTATCTATGGGAACACACCAAGCAGCGGCAACGTGCATGAGTGACCCACACCCATGGCTATCTAAATTCAGGCTGTTAAATCAAATGCTGTGAAAATGCCAATGTGATCTCATTTTAATGAACTTCTAGGTGATCACACTACACACACAGTCACAACGCAGCGCGAGGCTGAAGAGCTAACGGTGTGGCTTGCTGTGACACAGAAATACAGTGAAATCACTGCATCTACAGAGCAACTAACACTTGCTCTTTTGAGCAAAAGATTATAGTATGGATTTTGACATTCACAGGTGGGGAAAAAAGGGATATTGTTTCAGCTGTAGATTTACTTCATAATAGTATGTACTCCTGTAACAGGTACTGAAGAGTATCTTGATAGTTTCCATTTCCCTAAAAATCTGCCAAGTCCTGTTATTTTCCCTCTACTAAGCATCAAGACATCTCTATACAAAACCAGTTATAGGTTCAGAAGTGCAGCAATAAAGCAAAAGTTCCTGAAAGTCAAAATCAGATAGGTTAAATATATTAGAAGAATAAGGAAATTTTATGGAAGTTATGTAGTACCAAGTAAGCTCTATTTCCTTCTCTGACAGAGGACATATTTACTTTGTACTTCTCAGCTAGATGCTGGTATTTGTTCAATACGGTGCCAGACTGTGAGCCAGATGACAGAACACCACTCCGCCCCCTGGTTTTCTGTTCACTGCTGTGGTTTTTTCCTCTGTACTGTAGCCAGACAGCAGGTAGCAAGAGCTGTGCAGCACAAGGCAGTTATAAGCTGGAAGAAGACATCAGGCTTATGGGGGAAGGTATCAAAACATTATACAAGGAGATCTGGATGTCACAAGGACCAGCCGTGGCCCCAGCAGAATTTCTGACACTGGCAATACATTTTAAAATTAGTTCCTTCGGTTCTTTCAGTATCCCTTTTAAATGTGCAAGTAAAAAAAGTAGAATAAAAACAGTTTTAAAAGATTTGGTTGTGATGTGATGAGTCAGAATATAGATTTCATGAAATAGCCACACCCATCTAAAACCATACTTCTGCATACTCAATAATTTAATCAATACTTTTACCAGAGACACTCAACACTTCACAGACCATTGCAATACATCAATCTCCAATTGCACATCACACTAGAGTTTTAATTGCCCATTTTTCAGTACAAGTTTCAGAATAAAATGTGCCCCTATGTATAAACATATATGTAGAATACCAAACTTCTAATAAACAGTTTAATCTGTTTTTATTTACTTATACAAACACATATTTCCAAGGTATGACTCTAGATAGAGCATGTACAGCAAAGTGCTTAAGAATGCTATTCATCGCTATTTAGTTGCATACTTCAGGTGATTATCCCCATTGTGTGAGAGTAGGTTGAAATAGAAGATATCAGCCATGTATGCAAGATCTGCCAGATAATATATGCTCTGTCCTATTTGACTATCTAGACTTTAGTCAAGACTCTTCACAAACAACTTCCATTCTTCGTTATTCCAAATAAATTCATGCACAGTAGTATTTTTGCCTGAAGCAATACCATTCAACATCATCTGTTTTACCTGACAAAGGATCCATTACTTTCTGAAAAATAACAGGTTGCTAAAACACTTCGTGCAGCTTCCACCTTTCCTTACTCTTCCCCTAGACACACAGTTGGGAAATACTTCTCTTAGAAGAAACCACCTAGAAAATAAACTCTGTTCCTTCGCCCAACACTCCTAGGAAACAAACAGTACACGCCTCCACGACTGCGACTTACCCACTGCAAAGTCAGAAATAGCAAGATTGAGAAAGTAATAGTTACTCCGATGCCTGAGGTTTCTGTCCATGATGAAAGCAACGATCACCAGGGCGTTTCCGAGGATGGTGACCAGAGCTAGCAACACCATGAGGAAAGCCAGCAGCACCAGCACACCCAGTGAAAACTTGGAGATCGGTGGCGGTGTGCACAAAGTCCCATTGGACGTTCCAGCCATATGCGGAGTTTCAGCAGTGCTGTTGTGCATGTTGTGTATCCAGGTCAGTTCGGTCTGGGAAGAAATTCACACCTGGCAGAGTTATCCAAAAGGTTAAGATTCATAAGGAATATAAACAGGATGGGCTAAAAATCCAATAAACGTGAAAAAAAAAAGACTCAGGAGGGGAAAAAATTAAAAGGTTCTGGTGCTAGATAAATCTACTTTTCCTAAGATTTTTTTAATCCATGCATATCACTAGAAGAGTTACCAGTAAGAAATGTGCAATGTTTCCAAGCTCAGATGTTAAAATGCAAGTTCTTCTTTACGCAGTCTGATCCTTATCTGTGGAGGTCAGGAGGGCTGATTTGAGATTCTTTGTTGCTTTCCTCCCTTCCTCCCTCGTTCCCTCCCTTGCAGAAGTGTTTTGCTTGCTAGCATTATGGGCAACAACTTTTCCTAGATTATTTTTCTGCATCTTGGTTACATATCCTTATGAGAATCATAGAATGGTTTGTGTTGGAAGGGACCTTATAGATCATCTAGTTACAACTCCCCTGCCATGGGCAGGAACACCTTCCACTACATCAGGTTACTCAAAGCCCCATCCAACCTGGCCTTGAATGCTTAAACAAGGATGAAATTTGAAGGTAGTTTGAATTCTCTAGTGTCACTGTATTTCAGCAAGTCTGTGGTCCCTCTCTATTGTGTTATATCTTTTTGTCAACCAAACGCATGTTAAACTTCGTTGTTGCTGTTCCTCTTTCTGTGGACCCTAGGGCTGAGAACTGATATGCTGTAAATAAAGGTATATATAATTAGTTACCAGAGCAGTTAACAAGTAATGGTCCAACCCTCAGAGATCAGTTGCAAAACTCCCACTGAAATCTGTTTCAAAACTCTTTAACGGCAGCCCCAGTGACACAGCATTGGCTGCTGCCATCCCAGAACCAAGGAACGAAACACTGAGTCCCTGAACGTGAATGAGAGCTCGGTAATTAATTTTAATAGGACGAGGCTTTTCTTCCCACACTGGTGGAAGAAATCATGCGTCTTCCACAAATGCTTACATTTTATACGAGTAATGAAGCTACTTGCAGAGAGCTGAGAGTATTCCAGAGTTGTAAAAATTCAATCATTTTTATCATGCATTCTAAAAACACTTTGGTGTCTAATTTTAGATACTTAAATTTGAAAAATGTTTCCTGTCATCTCTGTGCTTCTGTTGTTGGAACAAGTTCATTAGTATTTGCCAAGCGCTTTTACTAAATGATTGAATAGCAGCAGTAAAAAAAATGCAAAACTTTATTATCCATACAAATATCGTCACAGCATGTGTGTCCATTACTGCTTTAAGCTTTATTTTGTTTCCAGGTAATGCTGGAAATGTAGAAAACACACTCTGGCAATGACTGCTAATAGCACTAGCCTTTCTTTCGCTATCAATTTTGAAGCTGATCTACACGAAGTTTTTGAGATCCAAGCTATTATGTGGTTGAAGAGAAAAAGTGGTGAACAAATGTGAGGACAAATTAAGGGTCTGGACAAGTCTGTATTCTGTCTGTCTCAACTGCCTGTAGCCTAAGGAAGATTGTAAGCACATGGCAAAGTACACTGCTGGTGTGCTCCCCCTGCCTCCAGTGATTTGTGGCTCAAGGTGCCAATATGCTACCAGAAGTGACATTTGATAATTTTATTTCCATTTCATCTTCTAAACAGTCACCTTCTTACCCCAGAACTTCTGCATTTTATTGATAATAAAAGACATCACAGGGCTCCTGTAGGCCCCCAAGGAGGGTAACAGTCCTTCTGTGATTGTTTCCCTGCATTCAAATCCAGAGAACAGCAGGAAAATTGCCATTGATACTGCCAAATCGTGGATCCTATATAAACTGTTACCATGTCCCAGTTATGCTTTTTCTTTCCTCATACCTAATGGAACCAGTCCATTTTGATCAGTCTCACTTTACCATGGGAGCAATAGTTCATCCCTGTGCGCTCAAAGTGCCGATCCCTTGGTAAGAAGCACCGAGCCTCGAGCAGCTCGCATGCACACGATATGCCCGCTGCAAAGCTATGTCAGAGGGGGCTCAGAGCCTGCACCGAGTCACTCATCCTAGATGGAAGTGTAAAAGGTTTTCTTCTTTTAGACATGGGGCTGCTTGCCATCAGTCAGGAAGGCGTCCTGGAGCAGGTTTCCCAATCCCAGTAACCTTCCCCCCTTCTCAACTGCAGAAGAGGGGGCAAGACCCAAGCTCTTAAGTATTCTTTTCTACTGGAAACTCTGGGACATGCTTTTGATTCCTAACTTGGTGCTTGAACAGCCAGAAATGCCTGCTTGAGCTGGCAGGCTTTCCACAGTCGGGTGTCCATGATGAATCAATGCACAGTCACTGGTCTCAGAAGAAAAGATTGTTACCATCTCCTGAAAGCACCATGAGTATCCAAAAGGCTGCAAAAATCTTATAAAAGCAGAAAAAACATAGATCCAAAGGGTGTTCCAAATTAATATCGTTTTGTAAAAAAACCACACAAATAGACATGCCACAAGGCTGAAAGCCACTCTTTGTAGCAACTGCAGATAAAACCGGATCCTCTTAATAGCAAAGCCCTTACCCAAGTTTTATACTTTTTTTTCTTCAGCGAGAATCTATGCTAAAATAAAGCTAAAGTGGCAGTTCAGTTACTGATGTAATTTGCGACTACTGTGCCTTAGAATGGTGCAATTACAGCTCTTTGCAAAAGTGAGTATAATGTTTTGGACCCTCTTCTTATCTCTGAAGCTGTTTGACGAAGTATAAATAGAAAGATTGTCATTGTGTCTTAACCCAAAACCTTCAGTGCTGAGGAACTGAATTAGACAAGTATTATGAGAATTAAATAAGGAGACTGCCCACATAATGGCTTCCAAGATACAACCACCACAACCTCACTTTTGTAGCATGCAACAAATTATCATAGTTTTAGTACACGTACATGTAACTTCTGTGCTTTACCTTGTTAAGATACAGAGAAAAATCTAAACAATTAAGCTAAGAAATACAGTTATCACTTTGAATTCCCTGCTTTTCTTTGACATTTTTATTTATTGCTGCAAGAATTAAGACATCGGCTTAAGTGTAATAAAGTTTAGCAGCCACAGAGTCCCCTGGGAACCTGGAAATTCTGGGCTCCACTTCTGGTCCAAGTGGACCCCCCCCTTGTAACTTTTCAGTCTATTACTTGATCCCTTTGCGTCCGTTTCCTCAACTCTAAGAGGAAGGTAACGTTTAGTGAGCTTATCAAAATCTCAAAGTTTAATATAAGATGCACTACATAAGCTTTTAGCAGGATTTTTTTGCGTGCATGGCTATAATTATGATTAAGCCAGTCTAGAAAACATGTCTAGCTAGAAAAATATCTAAGTAGATAACAAACTGCTGATTGTCTGCTGGGGTGAGGTCAGCCTATGAACTCCTCGATGGTAATCCTATGAGAAGATATGGAATTTTTAATCAAATACACATGCCAGACAATAAACGTATAGTACAGATTAATGAACCAAAAGGATCCACAAGTAAGTGTTACAGCTTTCTCTTCCCTTCCTTCCTCCCCAAGCCTTGACCAAAAACACACACTGAACAGTAAAAGCACCACCCTGAACTACCTGGTTATTCAAGTGTCCAGACTTTGCAGTATCAAGAAATTACAAACAGTCCAGAACTGCTATGCTGCAATTAGAGAGACAATTATCTTCACTGTTAAAAGTTAAGGGCAGTAGATTTTAAAAACAAGTGACTTTTCCATATTTCAGCATGACAGATTTCCAGATACATGGTAGGACATTTAGATGAAATGTTCTGTGTCATCACCACTTCTTGAAGAGAAGCTCGTAAGAGTGACAGGAGTTCTTTTCCATCGCTCAACTGTCTTGAACTTATTATTTGAAGTCTCTGTTTTACAGAGAAACCACCTGGAAGTTCTTTAGAAGGTACTTTGCTAACAAAACACCCCAACTGGAGATCAGATATAAACTACAGCTCTTGGTCCAGTCACTTAAGTTTGAGCAACAAAGAAAAATAAATCATTCTGATACTACTTTGCAGGAGACTGTGATCCTGTAATGGCTAATCTGGTTTCAGCCATACTCCTGATTCATTTCCAGAAGAGCAAAGTGAAAACAGTAAGAGAGAAGACAACGGAGTGGCAAAAAAGATTCAATAGAAGTCGCAATCCACCTTTTTCTGCTAGTGTTTGATTCTTCACAGACATACGTTTATGACAGGCAACTGTACTTTAGGCATGAATTAATGCTATAATCCTTTTCTTCTTATTTTTTTTTCCAGATAATGAAATTTGTAACTCTTCCACAAGTAGGGGATATGTATACAGCTTATATTGTCTTCAACACATTTACAATATTTAACAACAAAAACTCACCGTTCAAACCATTGCTTCAGTTTAGTGTTATACATTCTATCAGGACATTATTTTGAAAGTTAAAGTTACAAACACCACTTGTTTAATGCCTTTAACGATTATTTCTCTTCGGGTTGCATTGTCAAGTTCTGGATTGAAGAACATTGGTGCTCAATTCTGATTTAGTTGACTTTCAATATGTTCCTCTAGATCCTCATTTATAAACCTTTAACTTGCGGAAAATATTAAATTGACCATTGATAAACAAGACTATGACATTATTTAGCAGCAGGAGTTTAGAATATCGGTATTTATAACAGGAGTATATAGATTGTGTCCCCAATTCACCCAAAAGCAAAGGCTGACCCCACCCTTCTTACCTGGCAGGGGAGGAAGCTGTGCCAATCCTAAAGCAGACCTCCTGTCAGCACACTGCAGATAACGGAGCGCGGAAAGTCATGCCTTCCCCACTGTCAGGGCACTTCTGCTGTTTCTGCTTAACTTCATTTCACCACAGAAACCTGCAAAAATGGTGACACATACCTAACAGAGAAGCCCAACCTTTCTCTTTTCTGCATAGACATGTACTGAAGGTTACTTCTTAGTATCTGTAAACCTTGCCCCAAAGCAAAAAATGACTTGTCGGCAACACA